TGAAGTGATGTTTTTGTGTCTCTCCTTTATATATTCCATATGACTAAGTGTTACTTTCCTTTCAGTACATCTGCCTCCAAACTGCAGATCTGTTTCATCTTGGCTTGCTGTGTGGCGTCAATTTGAAATAATTCCTGTCTGTTGCTTCTTCATATATTTCTTCTGCCCGTCCTTTCCCACGTCTCAGATCCTGATGCATATGTATGTTGAATTATTTGTCAGACTCTGAACATCTCTTAGTGTACCTCTGCCTTGCACTTCCCCCCTTCACGATTGTGTGTATAAATTTTGTGTTAGAAGAACCTGTCTGTGATTAAGTGTTTTTCAAAATGGAGCTATTGAATTACTTTTAAAAAATATTTCTCTCTTTTTTATTGAAAAATTCTATGCATACAATATATTCTAATATGGTTTCTTCTTCCTTAACTCCTTCCAGACCTTACCCATCTCCCCAACTACCCAACTCCATGCCTTTTCTTATTTTTTCTCTTTTTATGCAAACAAACAGGCAAATAACAACAAAAATTGCCCAAACAAACCAGAATTTTAAAAAAGCAAAGAAAAAAAGCATAAGGCATACACACACACACACACACACAATTAATTTCACATATTCTTTTTTCAGTTCTAGAATTTTTCTTTTATTATCATATATTGATTGCATAAACTAATGAGTTTCATTATGACATTCTCATACATATATAGTATGCATTTAAGTATTTTCATATTTCCCTTTGACCTTCTCCAGTCTTCTCTTTGTTCCTGATGGTCTCTTATAAGGGCTGCTCCATATAGTCCTCCTCTAACTTTAAGTCTTGTTTTTAGAATAAGTTGAGATTGTACATAGAGAGAAAGCATGTAGCATTTGTTTTCATGGGCCTAGCTGTGTAGTTTAACAAAGTGATCTTCAGCCTTCACAGATGTCCTTCCTATAATCCCTCCAGTGACCTTCTTTCTCAAATTGATAATATCTTTTCTTTGATTAGTATTCTTACAAACATATATATGTATGTATACATATGCACAAACATTTAAATTCAACCTGCTGAGACTAGTTTTTTTCACTTATGAATAGATGGTTTCAAGACTTCCCAGTTTGTATTGAACAACCAATAAAGGGGCTCATCCCTGGGAGAGGTCAATTCTCCATCTCTCAGCAGTCATTGCTATAGTTCTTTGCCTAGGGGTGATGCCCTGTGACATTTTCCCTCCATATTAGCTTGTCTATTGATATTGGCTTTCCTCCTGTTTTGTTTATGTAGCTATTTTTAGGACAGACTGTTTCATAACAAATTTTCTGATATTCTGGTTCTTACAATCTTTCTGCTACCTCTTCTACAATGTTGTCTGGATCATAGATCCAGGCATTATGATGTAGCTGCATTCATTGGCATTAGGCTCCTGCAAACTATTGATCTCTGCATTGTGTTTAGTTGTGGTTTTCTATGGTGGACTCTGTTTGCTGTGAAGAGAAGCTTCTTTATTAAGGTGTGGTAGTTATATAAAGTATTGTATAAAGATAAGATTTAAAGTACAAGAAGGAATTATGGGGATCTGCCAAAGTGGTGGTAGTTGATTCTTTTCTAATGCCTTCACTAGCCCCAGTTCTTGGCTAGGTTCTAATTCCAGGCATGATTTCCCTAATGTTGAGTGGGGCTTACAATAGACAGCTCTTGGTTTCTACCAATATATGTGTGCCACTTACTGCCTCTTCATGGATATCTTGCCATATTGCTGAGTGCTGTGATGTGGGATGTCTCTCTGTGTGCTGTAAATATATTTTCTTACCATTGGTTAATAAAGAAGTTGATTTGACCAACAATCAGGCAGAATAGAGCCAAGCAGGAAGTCCAAGCAAAGATAAAGGAAAAAACAAGGGGGACTAGGGGAGACACCAGCAGCTGCTGGGGAAGCAAGACGTGAGGTAACAAGCCACTAGTGTCGTGATAAAATACAGATTATTAGAAAGGGGTTAATTTATGTGTAGAACTAGCCAATAAGAAGCCTGAGTCATCAGCCAAACAGTTTGTATTAATATAAATCAGTGTTTTTCCTTCCTGGTGGGAAGGAGAGAAATCTCCAGTTGTGGTACCGGGATTCATAGGTGTTGCATCTGGGTAAGACTATGCATTGTTTCCCTCCCTTGGAAGCTTGCATAGAGTTGTCTGGTACTGTGGAAATTAGACTAAAAGAAGGAGGCTTTCAGGTATCAAGCTTGAATCTGAGTTTTGTGTCCTAAGTGAGCAGCGTCTTTGCAATAGGGGCTCACCTTCAATCTTCAAGAAGCCCTCAACGACTACACCAGTAGGGTGTCTTGTTCTGGGAGTCACCTGCAGTGTGTTGGTCAACCATTAAAAACTGTTTCTCCTGTCTGGTATTGGGGTTTTTGTTAGGCTGTGGTTCTTGTGGGGAACATTGCCAGCTCAAACATATTCTGCGGTCATCTCATGATGGCTACTTTGGATGATTCCATATCTTGAATATTTGGCTGCAGTAAGCATTGTTAGTATGCCGATGGTGATTCATTTGGTAGATACCTAAGCGTGTATACCTATAGGTGTATCATATGGAAGTGGATTATAGCTATTTAAAAGAGTCTTTATAGTGATTTTCATAATGGCTGTGTTAGTTTATACTTCCAACAACAGTTTATAAGGCTTCTTTCACCGGCATTTGTTGTTTGATTTCTTTTTGAAAAGATTTTATTCTGTTTAACACCTCTGTCTCTGTCTGTCTGTCTATCTCTCTCTCTCTTTCTCGTGTGTGTACACACGCATGTGAGTTCAGGTGCCCTAGAGGCCAGAAGACTTTGAATCCTCTGGAGCTAGAGCTATAAACAGCTGTGTTCCATGGGAACTCAGTGCTGGGAACCAAACTGGCATCTTCTGTGAAAGCAGTTTTGTGCTCTTAATGACTGGAGCATCTCTCCAGCTCCTCACTTCAGTTTTTTGATAACAACTATGTTGACTGAGATGACAGAATCTCAGCAAGGTTTTGTTTTTCAGTTCCCTGGTACTGAAGTTGTTGAACATTTTCCATGTATTTACTGATAACTTAAGCTTAATCTTTTATTTTCTTTTTATTTAATGAATGATTTGAGGAGCATTGCTGTTAGCAGCTCTCCTCCAAGGTTCTGAAAGAATTTACTAGTATATTTGTCTGGTCTGCAATTTAATTTATGTTGGGAAACTCCTAGTGCTTCAGTTTCCCGGAGTGTAATGTTTTGGTTGATAATAGATATCTCCAACTTTCCCCAGTTTTATTGGAAATATTTTAACTTTGTCTTTATTTTCTACAATGTTGGGTTTAAGTTTCTCACATGTAGTTTTTGTTGACATGAAGTATGTTCCTCTGTTCCCGTGTTTTTCAGGGTCCTTATCACTTTACTCTTAGTTTTTTTTTGTCATTTTGACACAAAATTGGGTTTTTTGCTCAAACTAGCCTCAGCATTTTGGCTAAAGGAGCAGGTAATTTTACAGAGATCACATGTGAGGATAGATTCAACTTTTTAGTAAATTAATGTTAACCATAAAATGAATAAAGAAATAGATATATCAGACCATTATCACGTCAAATTCTGAAATACAAAATACAAATATGAAGTTATGAAGTGAAAACAGTGAGGTCTATAAAGATGGGGTTATAAACCTTTATCCTTTGTGTATAAACATAGAATGTTGCAACTGTTTATACAGTTTAAATGAATTCAGATGAATAAATTAGATTAAATTGGAAGCAGTGCCTCACAGGGATTAATTAATTGTAGATTAAAATTGTAGATTACCTTCTTCTTCTAGCCTATTGATTTGCATCTTCAGTGTTTGTGAGGAATTATTATATTAAAAGAGTATTGATCATTTTACTTAGAAACTGTATTAGTTCAGAACTGAACATAATTAAGTTAAACCTTATCTAATATGCTTTATGTATTAATAATAAAGTGCTAAAAATAATGTTATATAATTGAAAATACAAATTATAGTTTTTTATTATTGAGATTGCACTATATGGTTGTGATACTGAAAAGTAATTGATATCTAAATATATTTGGATATAGCTAAAATTAATTGTAATATGTTTATTTTATTTATTTATTCATTTTCCTGTTTTTGAAGACAGAATTACTCTGTGTATCAGTCCTGACTGTCCTGGAACTTGCTTTGTAGAGGAGACTAACCTCAAATTCACAGAAATCCACCTGCCTCTGTCTTCTGAATGCTGGGATAAAAGCCATGTACCACCACACTCAGCTTGTTACTTTTAATTCTTGAAAATTATAGTAAAATTGCATATTTCCACCATTAATTGCTTCTTCCAAACTCTCTCATACACCCCTACTTGCTCTCTTTCAAATTCATGGCATCATTTTCAATAATTGTTGCTATATGCATATATATATGAATATACATATAAATTATTAACTACATATATAAAACCTGCTCAGTCTGCTTAATATTACTTGTATGTTTTTTTCAGGACTGATCATTTGTTATTGTAAACCAATTGATGTGCTCTTCAGTGGAAACTACTCTTTATCTTGCTCTCAGTGTTCCTTAGTTGTTTGTAGTTCTTAGTGTTGAGGACTCCTGGCTTTCCCATGTCCACACTAGTATGACTATTGTTGTTGCCCTTCTTCAGCTCATGTGTAGGCAGCAATTTTGGTGAGACATTATGGGTGTAGCTTCTGACATTCCTAGGAGACCCAACCTCATAGTGGCATCCCTTTATTATTTAAATAATTTATGATGCTCCATTATACTCAACTACAGGATTTATAACAAACTATTTCCATTTTATTAACTCATTGAATTTAAATTTTTTCTTATATATCCTGTGTATAATTTAAATTTTGAATCTTTGTCTAATTCTGTTAGTGGGGCAATAATATCGCCAAGCTTCATTTATTGAAAGCTTATTGTTTCTACTGCTAATTACACAAAGTAAGTGATATACTCTTTGACTCCTTGTTTTAACATGCTTTTTCTTATTTTGATTCACAGGTTGGTGGAATTCTTGATGAATTACCCAACTTGATTAACAATGATGCTGCTGTGTTGTCAAGAACAGAAAGACTTCCAGTAGTGCCAGATACGGTAAGGAGAAACCGGTAATCAAACCTGCAGCTTTAGAAGTGGAGCAGACTATGTAATGTAGGAATTACACTAGGGACTTAGTTAAGGACCTCGATAACCTGCTCTAATGTCTTTGACTAGCTAATATTCCCACATTTAGCAAAAGTACATATTGCTGTAAGAGATCAGGTTACATGGATTTGTAGAGTCAGAGACATTATTACCAGGCCATACATGAAAATTGAACTTAATGTGTTGAATTTAAAATAGAAAGTTCACTTTAGATTCAACTCAGTTTACTCATAAAGCATTTTCATTTATAATTTAATTATATTTTGAAATCCAAGACTCATTACTGATTCTTTAAGTCCTATTTGCTTGCATTTTAAACTGTGTTTATCTGAATTTTTCTAACAATTGATAATGTTGTTATTAACTTATGCTGGATAAATGGAAGAAGCAAAGCAAACTAAACTGAAAAATGAAGTTGACTATTTGTTAAAAAGTTTTCAAAATAAATGAGTTAAAAATTTAGGCCAAATAATAATTTTGCAATGGTCTGAATGTTTGTATGTGTTCGAATTCATGTGTTGATATCTGAGTGTCCACAATTATCACATTAGATGAGACTTACTGGGAAGTGATCAAGTCACATGGGCAGGAAGCACCTTGGTCCTTCTAGGATATTAAATCCAAGAGAAGCTGTCGTCTGTGGTGAAACAAGCCATGTCACCTGCTGAATCTGTCTGTGTTGATATTGTGCTTTCCAGCCCCAGAGCTGGGAGAAATACATTTCTGTAGCTTACAGTATTTTATTGCACTCCATACTAAGACAGTTGTTACAATGTAAGGTAGGTATATAAGGCATCATTCCAATACTGCAGAGTGCAGATCATCTTTAAAATATATTATTAGTGACAAGTTGGCAAAATGGGGTCATCAACCAGCATTAAAGATACAGGTGGCACCTGGGGCAGAGTGCTGCTGAGATCAAACTGCTAAGTCAGAGATGGCTGAAGTTAATTTATAATCTTTTTAGTGGCAAGAGAGCTGGTTCAAGAACAGGGTGAATGACGTTAAGGAAGAAGCAGGGACAATAGTAATTACTGTTGTTGAAAAATTTTGGAAATCATAGGAATTTGCTGAAATTCAGAAGTGAATTTTTTTTCATGTGTGGTAATCTGAGATAGGGTCAAAATTAACATTAGGTTTTATGGAATTGTTTGGTAATTATGGTTTCAAAACATGGTCCTGTTCCTATATGAAGAGTGGCAGAAGGTCAGAGAGGGAAGAATCAGCTGCCCCCATGAGAAAAATTCCCACAAAAGTTGTTTAATCCCAAGTGGTCAGCTCTAAACACATGTACATACAAGCGAAGTCTAACAAACTCAGCAGCTCGTATATTCATGTGCACGTGTATATACATATTAGTAGACATGCAAACTGCTCATTAAAGAGGAGGTCATGAATTTGGGAGTGGGAGGAAGGAGTTGGAGACAGGTGAGTGAGAGATTTGAGAGAGATAGATGCAGTGCTCATGTGTGAAATTCTCAAAAAGTACTGTTAAAAAGAAACTATTTAGAACCATCTAGTGGCTTCTGGAGCTGTGGGTGACTTTCTGTAGTCGTTCAGTGAGTGATCCACTCCAATAGCTCATTTCTTCATCATGGAGAATTCCAGGGTTGAGCTGTTCTTCAGTGCTTAGTATATACACGGGGTCCACAGTGAAACATGCCGAAAGGAATCCGAGATTGAATGAAGACTTTGTTTCAGATGGCTTTAGATCTATGTCATAATACTGGAGGAAGCAGGGCCAAACACGTGATGTCTGGGGCACTGCAGGAGTGCACATGTGCGCTTCACTGCGTGGAGAAAGATGTTGTGGTGTTGTGGCTGAGCTCTCAGGGAAGAGGTGTCTTTTTTAAACCTCATCACACTCATGTTGTTCTTTCTTTGTATATGGGAACTTGAATTTAGTATGGTCTTAAGTTTTTAAAAATTTCTTTTGTTTTTTGAAATTTTAATATAATTGCACAATTTCTCCTTTCCTGTTCCTCCTTTCAAACCTTTCCATAGACCCCTCCTTGCTTTCTTTCAAAATCATGGCCTTCTTTTCCATAAATTGTTATTATATACATCTATGCATCTGTATAAGTATTTGTATTCCTAAATATATAAATATAAGCAACAAAGCTTGTCTGTATGTGTGTGTGTGTGTGTGTGTGTGTGTGTGTATGTGTGCATGCGTGCCACAGTCAATGTGGAAGTCAGGGAACAATTAGTGAGAATTGGGTTCTGGGGTACTTAACTCATGATGGTCCCCCTTTCCAACCACTTAGAGTTGCATTTTCAAGTGCCACAAACTTACTAGTAAGATATTGAATGTAAAGGAAACATTGCTTTTAAATCTCTTCTATAAATGACAACACTATAAAAATAAATGCATGTATAATGAAAGATATCAGTTACTACTCTCTAAACATATTTGAAGTAATCTCTCAATGCCTGAAACAATGGGATTTATTGTGTAATTTTGACTTCAAAATAAATATTAGCATTTTCTTTCTTTCTACACACACACACAAATATACGTATATGAAACAGGAGGATATATTATTTAAAGTTTTCAAGTATTTTTGGATAAACTAACAAAACTCCCTCTGACTTTGGTTTTGAGTAAAGACAGCTAACAGACATACACCTCTTTCTTATATAAAGTCTCAGTGAAGTCCTTGCTGTTCCAAAAACTAAAAAAATTTTAGTGCAATAAAAGGCAGTATTTAGGTAATGAAAAAACAGAATACAAGAGATGACAGGACCATCTGTTGTAAAAATGTACAGTTATTCCCAGGTGAGCGAAAATAAGAGTTTAAATACGAGGATCCCACCAAATGCCAAGAAACATGGAATTTAAGGTCTTTTTGTACAGTCTCATTCATTTTCAGGTAAACATAAATAAAAAAAATACCCTTAAAGCTGCCACAGGGGAAGGTACCTGGACCGTTCCCAGAGAGATGGGGCACACACTGGGAGCAGGGACTGCTGCGCAGTTAGTAATACGCAGAGTGCAGAGGAAACAGGGATACAGCTGCCGATTTGTGGGAGGAAATTATTTTGGATATAGAATTTTGCCTCTACTCAAAATTTTAATGAAGTGAGCAAATAATATGATTTTCTGTAGCCAGATTTTTATTTGGGCCACCACCTCACAGGGAGACTTATTATGCAAGCTTGACCTATAGCTTAGGATTGCTTCTAAGTAGCTCTTATAACATGTTACCCAGTTCTATTTATCTGTGTGCTGCCATGTCTTGCTCCCTCTGCGGCCTTTTGGTGACTCTGCCTTTCTGTAGGTAAAGTATTCCTGTCCTGTCCGTCTGCTCTCAGCTGGCAGCTGCTCCCCAAATAACTGACTTGGAGACTTAACATTAATTATAAATGCTCGGTCAATAGTTCAAGCTTGATACTCCCCAACTCTTACATTTATATTAACCCATATTTCTTGTCTATGCTTTGTCACATGGTTTGATACCTTTTTGCAATTCGGCATGCCTATCTTACCTCTCCTTGCATCTGCCTGCGACTTGTCTGACTCTGCCTTTCCACTCCCCAGCATTCTCTTGCTCTGATTTTTTTTGCCTAACCTCTTCATGCCTAGCTATATGCCTATGAGCTCTTTATTAGCCAATGAGAGTGATACATTTTCATAGTGTACAAAAAGTTTGTTCCACAGGACCTTTCTTCTCAGAGCTCTCTCTGTCTTGAAGTTCCTGCTATATCTCCTGCCCAGCTATTGGCTGTTTAGCTTTTTATTAAACCAATCACAGTGTTTAAATATGAGGATCCCACCAAATGCCAAGAAACATGGAATTTAAGGCCTTTATATATACCTTTACATAGTATAATTAAATATCTTGCAAAAATTTTCTAGTTTGTTAGAGCACAGTAAATTTAGTACCTTTATGTGCCCTGAGATGGACTTGATCTGGTAAAAATTAACAAAAGAGACAAGAGGAAATTAAAGAAGGGTTACGTGAACACAGAGACAAGTAATTGAGCATTTCCTGCATGAAATGAGGAAAAGTGAAGACAAATTTAAAGACAAATGTACCTTAGCTCATGTGTGAATTATATATACATCCAGAATCAGGAGTATGGAGACAGAGTTCATTTACTTTCCTTTGGGTTTAGTTATACCACTTGGATCCATACAGAACAATAACAACTAAACAAACCTATTCTACATTCGAGGACTCAATTAGAATTAAAGATGTAATCCAGACATTAGAAACTTAGCTACTACTAATAAGAATAATAAAATCAAAGTGGGTTGAGAGGCAGAGAATGTGCCCAATTTCTCATTCCCCAGTGCAGTTGATGAAGGTAGGAAATGGGCCAGCACAGTTAGATCCAATTTTAACATTTTAGCCTGGAATGATGAGTGCAGAAAAAAAAAAGAAAAACAAAAACAAGCAAAACCCCACATAATTAAAATCAAACAAACAAACTGACCAACCTCGAGATCCAGTTGCTGTTAAAAGGAGTCATTTGTTAGAATGGAGCCAGGGAGGTGTGAAAGGAGGCATATTTTGTAATTTAGCTTAGACTCTATGTGTGACTTGAATTTCATATATGAAGTGAATATATTTTGAAATAAAAGTATAAATTGTGCTCAGGTGGTTGAATATACGTTTAGAATAGTACGCAGACACATCGAATCTCAACTGACTTCTTCTCTGAAAACAAAAATTGTGAATAAAACGAAAAAAGAGAGTATTCGTGAAATCTCTCAAGAGCTAAAATGAAAGGAGCACAGAGGCCAAAGCTACATTCAGGTTGGCGGAAAATGGCAAGCGGAGTTTTGGGCTGATTTCACCCCAGGCTTTTGTCCAAGATATGAACTTCAGCTTTATTTTATAGGTTCAGAAATCTCCTCGGGATGAAGTGATGTCTTAGACACCCGTGATGGGAAGTCTGAAAGGATTCATTAATACATCTCTAATGCAGTCTTAGGAGGGAAA